ATTTGTCCAGTGATGTTAAGAGTGCCTGAATATTTAACGCGCTTAAATACCATAATGACCCTATATAACTCGGTGCTTTCTCAGGCAAAGAGCGAGACTGCGATGATTGTTCCTTCATGCAAAATCCGTAGAATCTTCAAAGAATTTGAGATCGTAGTTTTATGAACTAGGCCTTACAATGCCTTAAATACGGACTCAAATCTCTAATCAAGTAAGCCTGACCTAGATTCGTCACTAGTTCATGATGGAGGAAAAGTAGAGACTAAAAGAAAGAGGAGTAGGATCTAACGTAACTCCAGCACATAATTTTCTCCGACGGCTCTCCAAACTGTCACGGCGGCTTGCATTTAGGAGTGCAGCTTATCAGGATAAATGGGTCCTCCCAAGGAGGGGAGGTCGGATTTCAGCGCTCACACTTTAGTCTTTGTGTAGGGTCTCTTGTAGAGTCCCTAGTGGAATCTAGTTGTGTGCGCTTCTGGACGCAACCCACATCTGCGCCCAAGCCGCCCCCATGCCCTCAGTAAATGGTATTTTTCATCAGACACAGGTGACGAATAGGTTCCTCAAGATGAGACTTCCGTGACAGACTATGGGAGGTTATTCAAAGCTATCTAGGCACTGTAGTATTACAGCCACGTTCAACTGCTAGTTTCCTTTTCACTATGAAAGTCAGACTTCCTCTCAAGGCTCCGGCATTTGTGGCGCATATTTTATATGACCAGTGTTTTCGTAAGTCACACACATCTCGGCTGACTGCGAAGGCGTCTTCTTATACTAAGATGTTAAACGTCGAGGAAGGTGATAAACAGCTCAATTCAGCCAAGTTACTTATTCAAGGTTTTCAACGCACAAATAAAACCCGACTGCACGCCTAAAAAGTGCGTGCAAAATCGAATCTGATTTCTCGTGTCAATAAGCGTTGACAGTAATTATTTTATTAAAAATGTGGGTCGAAAAGATATGCATGCGAAAGCCGATAACTGTGGAAACTGCAGCCACGAGTAAACGTTGCCATTATATATTACTTGCTGCCATCTTATTGTTTCGTGCTAGCAAGTAAAGACAGTCATGCTGTTTTCAAAATGAGCTGAGAGCTAGGCATTTTCCATCCGCATCTTCAGTTAAGAGCCCCACGACTCTACGGCTGAGGAGTAGTCACGTTTCTTGAGCAGTTTCAACGGAGGGCTGTGGAAAATAGAGAATTCAAACAGCCAGAAAGGACTTTCCACCAGGCGACATGGGGCTCGCCGACTTTCCGACTTGCCCTTAAGCCATGGGCAACGCACTTTCAGCCGCGCATATAATCAACATATTTTGATTCAGCTTGCTTGCGATTTGAACTAGGTCTCCGTTGGGACTGAAAGGCAAAATGTAGGTAATTCTCAAAGACAATCTTCACAAAATTGGTATTATTAGCACAGAGTGGCAAGTTTTGTTAGTGTGCAAGTCCTCACTGTCATACTGTCAAGGGAGACACTTTATCTCCTCGGGCGTTGGAGATTGGAGTTCAGCTTCCTATGCATCCCAGACATGCCTGCAGGGCATTTTGTCAAAGAAGACATTCGAAGAATATCTCGTGAAAACATTAAACGGGATCGAGGAAAGTATCAGTATCAGTCGGAAGACGGAAATACAATCGCATGGCTGTTACTTACGTTCGCCAAGTTGACTTCTGCATTTGGTTATCGACCTCAGTAATTTTATTGCTTATAATATATACACCGTATTGATATAATTGGCTTATAATTGTTGGGTCGCTGTTTTAAAATGAGGCATTTAAAAGCAGGCACACTTTTCGAGTTTCTTGTATCTGCTGACTCTGTATCCAGTAAAAAAGCGCACTTAAACCCCAATGATGACCCCAACCAATGTAGTACGGTACTACTAAACAAATAGAGAAGAATAAACTAGGTGCAAACCTTAACAACGGATACAGGTAGTCAAGAACAAAGGAGTCGGTCAAATATCGCCTGACTCTAAACAAAGGGACGACGCATGTCAGCCAACGCCACACGGATGCAGGGCGAAGCCAGGCTTGGGGGGACCTGCGTCGATGGGAGAGGAGACGACCGCTGCTTGTGTGTGACTCCGGGGCCAATTCATATGGTGTCCTATTGAGAGGCCTATGCTGCGATGGCCGGGTAAGCATACGCAGCTATCTTGCACGCGAAGGGGAACTGGCTCAGGGGTGTTCAGGTCGGCCAGACGCAGCCGCTGCATATCTAGGCCGCTTTCATTGCACAAAA